GCTGACTCCATTATGTATAAAGCGGACCTTTTAGATAAATGAAATTGAGTCATATTATTCTCAGAGTTTAAACTAATTTTTAATATTGTTTAAACCAGTGTCTTATGAGCAAGACTATCTTTGTCAAATTGTTTTTTTCAGCTGTTATCAGCTGGTAAAGAGGCTCTCGCTCTTGCTTGACTAGGTAGGAGTCTGAGATCAGCATGGAACAAGTAATCTGTCTCTACAAAATATTTTTAAAATAGCTCAAATGTGTGCGCATGTAGTTCGTAATAAATACGCGTGTTTCTTCAAATAGAAATGAAAATTTCCTTGCTTAAAATACTCAAGTTCACCTGTATTGCTTTAAAAAGGACGATAATAGACAATACTCATTGTCAGGGCATGGCTCAGCTGTAATATAGCACCTGGACTGAGCGGAAATTGCAGTCAGAGTTTCAAGACAGCCGACATGAGTCATCTCTATAAAATAAAAGAATTCGAATAAATATAGAAATAGCGGCATGTGTAATGCTGTACGTCCCAGCTCTTCGAGCTGACGAAGATTATTAAGCATCGATTTGGTGAGTGACTAGCTGACCCCGCATCTAACCGCACAGGAACGTCTCCCAAACAGAAAAAAGAAGAATTATCATTAAATCATCATAAATTTCCAACTAACTCTGGTTGTAGACATGAAATTCCATGACATTCTAGCTAATATTTCAGAAATGGAAATTAAAAATTCTTATATGTAAAATACTCTGATACAAAAAAAGCTATTTATATATATTACAATAGGTTGTCCTTTCTTCTTTTGTTTTTAATAGATCACGCCTGGTTCCCGCTAGAGTTGCGTTGTCATCATAGCTCCTGCACTCAACTCTGGCTCCAGTGATCCCTGCTTAGTCCCCAGATAGGCACAGTTGAGCCGATGCTGCTCATTTCTGTTTTTGTAGATAGGGTCTTGCTTTGCTCAGCTGTCTTGAATTACTGGCTCAAGCAATCTCACCTTGCCTCCCAAAGTGCTAGATTGCAGGTATGACCACTCCTGACCTTCAGTTTAATACTTTTAAATGAAATAATTCATTTCTAAAGAAATCTAAGAAATGATGTGGCTATATATGCAAAACTTAATACCCTTATCCAAGATAAAATCGTGCACAATTCTTACTTTAAACTCAAAAAAAATTTTATAAAAATAAAATACCCATGTTGACACACAAAGAAGTCTAAACGACGTGATTTTGAGAAGCAATTGAGAAGCTGCAATAACTTCAAACCCAGATCATGACAGTTTTCCACAAGCTTTATAAAACAACATTCTTAACATTTAATTTTTTTTTTGTCTTGGAATACAAAAGGAAAATTTAAATGTCCCCCCCCTTATGAATGGTAACAATTTAAATCTCAATCAACTAACAAAAACATAACATACTATAGACCAATCTACAATATATGAAAATCTAAATAAAAATATTAAAACGATTAGTGCTCAATAAAAAAAAACAAAAACATAATACTCGGATATTCAACATGAGCCATTATACCTTATCTTTATACAGTCAGGAGAAAAATTATGGATCATTTCTATGCAATAAAAATGATTCACAATATCACCTCAAGTTAAAATTTCATAAAACCAGCACTGCATGCGATACTTCATCAATTATGAATTCAAAAGCACAGTATTGCATATATTTCACCCATCCCCTGCATATACGATCCCGAACTTATCCTAAAGTAATGATCACGCAGTGTGCACAATGCATAAAAGGAGCCTATCTATTGGGGTAAGGTAACATAACTCCAGAAAATAGTCAATTTCAAAATATATGAGTTACATTTGGTCGCATGCACTAATGGTATCCGCAAATGAACGTCATACATTCCAAGCACTGCTCAAATGCTCCTGCACAAATTCGATATAGATAAAAATCAACCTAAGTGCACACAACTGGATAGTGATAAGAAAGTGTGGTGTAATATACCCTGGAGCAATATAGCACTAAAATAAATAATATTGGCAGCAACTGGATGAACTGGCCATACCCAGAAGTTAACTCAGAACACTTCTCAATCAAAGGGGACTAGGACGGTGGGATGCTGGCCTACATGACATAAACACAAGAACTCAAAGAGGAGGCGCAGGGAGGATAAATTACTTATTGTACTATAAGGTACAAGTACTATTTGGTGACATATAAACTAAAGCGCTTCCGACTATATCATCAATCTATTAACATAAACCCACTTGTACCCCTAATTAGAAATTAAAAAATAAAATCAAATCTCAGTACAAATTTACTACTACTAAGCCATTTCAGAAAAAATGAGCTATAAAACTGAAAGATATAAAATTACGATTTGCCTGAATACTAACTGGAACAACTGCGAAACAACTGAGATTACAGTGAAAAAACGCGTCATGAAGAGAACACCCCCATACCGGAATCAGCAGCCTTCCTTATAAAAAACACACAATACCTAAAAGGAGGCTCATCCGTGCAGCACAAAGGATAAAAGTCTGGGATCACTAAAAATGTGTGAAAGACTTCAGGAATATTATAAACAAACATGCTGGGCAGATACAGATTTCAAAATGTTCATCGATCTGAACACTACACGCCTGCTTGCGAGAGAAGCCCTTGCTTCCAAGTAACAGATGCCTCCAGTTTGGACCAGACTGGCAAGTGATTCGAAGCACTCCGTCTGCAACTGCTGTACCTCCACAGACAGAGAGCCACTGCACCATCTCAAAAGAAGCTGAGGGGAAGAGTTCTGTGAAACAGAAGCTGCCACGCTCTGCGGTAAACGTCGGATGTAACACTTAAGGTAATACTATCGAGTTAGGCCCAGATTATGCATAATAACGCCAAAACATCCGCTATAAACATCTTTTCTTCTCGAAAGTAGATAACCCTCCACGATAGATACATAAGGACAAGATGGTACCCAGTGGGCAGTGTGCGGCAGCTCTTGACCTGGTATGAACAGAAGGGGGAAACACAGTAGGCAAATGTGCAACAACTGGAATCTGTGCAGAAATACACAGAGAAGAAGCAAGTTCTGAGCACAGTCGCACCTAGAGTAGCGAACTTCAACCGGGACGCAGACAAGAAGCAGAGAGCTCACTCTGACCTGAGAGCATGCCAAAGCAGCAAAGTAGGAAAAGGACAAAGTACAAACAGAAATAAAACAAAGAGCAGAGAGTAACAAACTCCAAAGCCGGCTCGCTGTTCTCTCTATACCTAACACAGCCAGGGCCTGACCATTGGCAGGCCTCAAGTGACTTGCATGCTGGACTGGATGGGGACCTGACAAGCAGGGGGGAACAGCAGTGACAGTGTGGCTCTGGACGTCAATCACGAGCTGGTTTCTGCTCATGCGGCTGTAGGAACTGAAAGGGGGTGGGGGACCTGCGGCTTAAGCCACTTGTTGGCCTCTAGTTCTTAAGTGCAGCACTTTTGACTAATGCAATTTTACAGACAAATCCTTTTATAAAGGTACACAGAAGAGAAAAGAAGCTTTTCCCTACTGTGGTGCTCAAAAGATACATTTTGAAACAGAAGCATACGGTTCTCCCCTCATGCACCTATAATAATAGAAAATCCCCAAAATCACTACTATAAATCGTAAATTTTAATAGAAGATTAACCACAAAACAGTCATGTTTTAAATACTCAGCAATTGAATAATCTGAAAGGAATAAGAAAATATTCTAGTTGGATAACATCCAAAATAAATATCTATGAATTAAATCCAGAAGTAAAATATACTGAAACTTAAACTTGTTGTAATAAATAAACAGACCTAAATCATGGAAAATGTCCATTGTTCAGGGACCGTTAAGATGTAATACTATCCAAAGCAATTACAGATACAATGCAAGCCTGGATAAAATCCTTTCTCGAAAACTGATCCTCAAATCTATGGAATACAGGGCCCATACAACAACACTGAAAAGGACAATTGAATTCACATTTCTTATTTCAACTTACTACAAGCTATGGTAAATCCAAAAGTGCAGTATTGGCATGAGACACACATGGACCGGTGGAATAGAAAAGAGAGTCGAACAAACAATACAATCTATGCCTATAATTTCGGCAGGTTCAGACATCAGCGGGGAAAGAATCGTGCTCTCATAAGGCGCTCCTCATCCGTAATCACTGTGCTTCTAGTCTGAGCTAATGTAGCACTTAGTAACAGATGCTTAGATG